CCGATACTTCACACGGCACACTTATAAAAGCCTCACTACTGTTCTATTGTATCTTAACAAATTACATTCACTTCTATCTATCTGCTTAGCTGTGTACAAAGCCATTCCTCATAGCCTAAGCTAAGACAAGCCCAAACCTTAACATATACAAGAGAGAAAGGCAGTCTTAAATAGTCTAGAGAAAGTTCTGGAAGATTCTCGGGGTTGAGGTCATGTGATAGTTATGTCATCAAAGGTTCCAGTGCGATCTAGAAAGTGTCTTCGTTACAACGAGATGCTATCTCGAACTATCTCACTCGGGCTTATTCGTGCTAGGGCAGCCTATTTCGAATTCTAGACAACGATTACATCAAGAAATTATTATTTTTAACTTTTTACTTTTAAAGATTTTTGGTAATTGTATCGACAATAATTAAATGCTTGTTCACCTAACCTGAAAATAAATGAAGCAATAAATGTAATAAATTAGCAATATTAGTTTAATAAAAATTTAGATTCTACATTATGGGTCATCCTAGAAAAGTTTCTTTAGGGCCTTTGGGATTTTTGCTCGCTTAGTAAGATAGTACAAAGCGAAGGTCATAATAAAGTTGAAGAGCACAAAGAGAGTAAATATACCAAAGTAACCCCATGGCCAGCCTTCGCCGGTAAAGACGTGCTTTTGATTCAGAAAGGCACTAGAGTCTGACATAGGACAATATTGGCAGTTTGTCGTGGCGGTCGGATCAACGAGGTATCCACCAGACGACCGAACAAATGATTCCGCATACGAACCGCATGTTCCACTACCGGGAGGTGGCTGGAAAGTGGCGAGTTCCCTCTCTGAGCAGTTAACACTGACGTTAGAGGCTGTAGCGCCGATAACTCCGTCTAGATAGTATGTGAATGGGTTGAGGTAGTCTGTTTATTTGTTAGAAACATCTTGTCGACAAAAGTTCTACCCACAAACTGTGTACTTCCAGATAACCGGTTGTTGAGCGTAGTTGAGGAAAATACCGTTAATAAAAAAGAGCAAAATGATGATAAAAGGCATCAAGTTCATGACGACCTTTGGATTTGGGCTCATTGAGCACATCCATGCTGCCATCCAGGTTGAGTATACGAATGCGGCAACGGTAAGAACAAAAGTCAACCCAGCAGGCGATCCCAGTCGGAACCCTCCATCTGCAGTATAAGCAAATGCAGCTGGGAAGTACGAAATTATGAAGTAAATTACTGAGTTCATAAAAGTGTACGGCAGCTCAGACATTAAATAACTCATTATGAATGCCTGCCAGCTGTAGATTTTTGACGGTGCCTCTCTGCTTACGAAGAGCTGGTGACTGATGAAATATTTCGGAGCTGCTGAGACAATCGTGAAAGGAGGCAAAAGCAACAACAAGAAAGCTGCAAACGTCCGCTCACGAAGATTCGTTGTAGTGGTACCAATTTTGAAGAAGAGGAAACCGTTCATGATGGCGACTGTAACAGTGATAAAGAGCTGACTGTATGTGTAAGATGAGTCCCTCCAATAGTTGCGACTCATTCGCCCGATGAGTAGCTTTGTTTGAACTGAAAATGGCTGCGAGTACGTTCTTGTCATTGCTTTTGACATCTCCCTTGGTTTTTGTGATTTCTCAGCGTTGATTTTGTCAACCTCTTGACGAATTTTATATGCCTCCTCTGAATCTTTGAAAGCTTGAGGGAAATCAAGCGGTCTTCCGTGAGCATCCTTGCTGTAGGCTACCATTTCAATAGCGTATTCAGCGACATTCTCATGTTCTTGGCAAGGCCTAGCACCAATTCTTTTGAAGTATTCGACGATGGTGTTACCGTTGTTACCGACTGGACCTTGATAAACCACCCTACCACCAGGTGCGAGTAGGAGAAGACGATCAAAAAACTCAGTGAAGAGTAAACTCGATGGTTGGTGAATAGTACATAGGATAGCTTGACCGGCATCTGCGAGCTTATTCATAAAACGTCCAATGGAGTAGGCGGATTGAGAGTCTAGACCAGACGTAGGTTCATCGAGGAAGAGCAAGACGTCTGGCTTTGCAGCCAGCTCAACAGCAATTGTTACTCTCTTGCGCTGTTCTACACCTAATCCAGCACCTGGTGAACCGATAATGGCATCCTCAAGGTCATCGAGTTCGAGTAGGTGGATAATTTGATCAACATATGCCAAAACTTCTTCGCGAGGAGTTTCGCGTGGCTGTCTGAGAATAGCTGAAAACTGAATTGATTCTCTGACAGTAGCAAATGCGTCGTGTAAGTCACCTTGTTGAACATAGCCGGTACCTCTTTGGAATGAGTTAAGCTCAAGTGGTTTCCCATCAATCAGCATATCTCCGGTAACAACACCCATAGACATTCTCTGCGAGAGCGTGTTGAGAAGAGTCGTTTTACCAGCACCGGAAGCACCCATAAGAGCAGTAATTGTGCCAGGTTTGATGTAGCCAGTGACGCGATCAAGCAGTAGCTTCTCTCCATCGGGAGTCTGGACGGTGTAAGATACGTCCTTGAAAGTAAAATCCGCCACAGATGGTTTTATGGCTCCAACGTCAACCTCCTTCTCGACTTGGCCCTTTTCGTTGACTTGCTGGCCGGGTCCGCTCTCAATATCACCTACAAGATTACTCTCAGCCTGTTTGGCCTTCTCTGCGCCCTTTTTGGTCTTGGCAAAGACGGTTACACCACCAGAAGCAGCAGTGCTGCTGAGATATTCAGATGCCAATGCAGTGAAGAGTAAGTATCCAACCAAGAAACAGAATTGATAACCCAAGAACGGCCATAAGTGTGTGTAACCGTAGTTTGCCTCAACGTAATCTTCACCGCGAACCGTGAGGCTGCCAGGTCTTCCACCTTGGACTGCACAGGTTTGATAGGGAACATCCGCTCCAGGCACACCTCTCGGAACGATATCTGGTGTATCGCATGATATGTCAATACCCCTGAACTGACTGACCATCAAAGCTTGGAAAGTGTAGGGAAGCACGTTAACCCAGGTGATCTAATAAAGGTTTCAGTTAGGCTGCATTATAGAAATGCGACACACTTACCCATTTATACCACCAGCCAATGTCATAGCGGGGAATGGTGTATCCAGCCAAGGTAAAGGCAATATTGAGCAGGCAAACTGAATATCTGCACGACTTTAGTAAGACTTCATAAAGCAAATAGCTCGCAACCAACCTTATAGCCGATCCAAAATTACTGCAAAAGGCTGCTATAGCCTTGAAAAGCTGGTTGAATGTGATGGCATTGACAGTGATAAACAAGAAGTAGGTCCAAAATTTGCCCGCATCTGGGTCCAGAGAGCCAAGAAAGTAAGTGATGACCGAAAACACGCAAATACCGGCAAGAATTACGGGAGCGTCGACCATGAACGCTGCTATTGTGACTGCACTTGGTCGATAAAGAGCAAAGTCCGCGTGTTTGCTGAGGGTGTTGTCAATATCTGCACTATTGGCAGTTCGATAAATCTTACCTGATTATTTGACGTCCAGCGCAAGCAGCAAAGACTTCACTAAGCTGAACCCAGCAGAGGAAAACGGTGCTGTAAAATAGAGTACTGGCCTTGGCGACAACTCCCTGCGACGTGAAGCCCTGCTCGTAGAACAATGAACTGATAGTTAGAGCACTGAATATAATGGTTGCAAACTTGGTCTTGAGAGCGCCCAGTTGACTCCTCTGCAACTGAAGTTCACGAATAAAGCAGTAGTATATTTGCTCCAAGTAGGATACTGTGTACGGTGATGATTTGGCCATACGTCTCTTCTTATCTTCACGCACAGAATGCTTAAACGTCTCCAGATTGATATTTTCAGCAGTGATGGCCTCATCCGCTGAAGCAACAGCAGAGTGGTGGTTCTGCGACTTCCTAAACGCCTCTTCGAACTCTTCTGCCGAACGTGGAGCACGGCTTTCCCAGCCTTCCTGGATAGTACGCTCGTGTACGTCTGTGATACCAGTGAGGAAATCCGCCGAAGTCTGACGGGGTGGTTTGTAGTAACCCAAGCCCTCGAAATGAGCCACAGCTTCGTTGGCTGGCCCAAAGTAGATACAGCGACCTTCAGCAATAAGGCAGACCTTGTTGAAGAGCTCGTAGATACCCTCACCAGCCTGATAAAGGGTTGCTATGGATGTGCCTCCGGTAAGATCTGTGATTACTCTAAGGCTCTTCACGTAGTCAACAGCAGTCGTGGCATCTAAACCGCGGGTAGAGTTGTCCCAACACATAACCGACGCCCTCGTAACTAATGTCTCGGCTATAGAAACACGCTTGCGCTCACCACCTGAGACACCTCTAACTACGTCGTTTCCGACTAGCGTGTTGGCCGTGTGCTCAATACCAAACATCTTGAGAACGGCATCGAGGACGTAATTGACGTATTGCGATCGCCTCATGCCATTTGGACGGACACGGGGTGTTTTCTGCTTGATGGCGAATGCTAGAGTCTCCGCGACGGTGAGGGTGGGGAAGTGAATATCTTCTTCGCCATTCATGACGACTTCACCACGGAATTTCTCGTTAACCTCTTCAGGAGATAATCCGCCGTAATCAACGTCACCGTCCACAGATACAAATCCTTCTCTTTTATTGGCGAGGGCTTTAAGAAATGTAGTGCAACCTGAGCCTGGTTTGCCCAAAACAAGCATCATTTCTCCTCCACCTAATGTGCCGTTGAATGAGTTGATGAGGTTGCGCACTGGGGGACTTTTGCCGAAGATATTCAGCTGAGGAATGTACTGGGTAACGAAGTGGTACGCATCAGGGCCCAGTGTGCCGATAACTGCGTCCGGAAACGTCTTGATGAAAGTGGATCCACCACCCGCCCCCTTAACGGTTAGATCCTTCCAGGCAATACCCATATTAGGTTTAGGTGTCTTTCCAACCTTCTCTAATCCCTGCTTCTCGTTCTGATTTCGTGATTAGAAATGCGCTGTGGCGAGAAGTTCTTTGCTTACATTCACAAAATCTTGCAGATCAAAACTGCCATCTTCAGCTACTGTAGCATCTGAAGAGCTTCTTTTAGAATGCTCATTGCCATCCCGACTAAGCTTCTGATTCAGATTGTGGTAGATCTCCTTCGATCTTTCAACATCCACAAGACCCTTTTCCTGGTTGGGATCTTTTTCCATATTGTGAAGATGTTTAGAACGAAGTAGTTGGAGTTAAAGAGTATTCACAACTTTTACCCGAAAGTGATTGATGCTTATTAATTGACAGGCTTTGTAAGCCAACGGATACTGCCATAAACTGACAAGAAGAATAAATAATAGTACGGAGTATTACTATCAGCTTCGTAGTAGTATATTGGTATAACTTTTGGTCTTTTCTACCGACATATAATGGAGACAGATCCCGACTGAAAAACTGATTTGGAGAATTTGAGATTTTCCGAAATCAGTTGCGTCATCGAAGGAGATCTACTTAAACGCTGTTGATTATTCTGAGAGAGAAATACATATCTTAAATCGCACTTATTACACTTTCATTATCTATTAACTGTGACTTTTTTAGTCTACTTAAAATAAATAGATCTATTGTATTCACATTTCAATACACTCTTTAATCAATTTTGTAAAAGGGATAGTCTGTATAACCACGCTCAGTACCACCATAGAAAGTGGTACGATCAAAATTCTCATTCAAAGGCCATCCGTTGTGTGCACGCTGAGGTAAGTCAGGGTTGGAGATGAAAAGTTTTCCAAATGCGACTCCCTCATCATGCTTATCTGCTCTGGCATTGGCAGTCTCAAGTGTGTGATCAGTGTTGCTAATGACGGTTATGCCGGAATTTCTAACAATCTGCTTAAGCGTGTCGCTCTTGTCGAAATCTTCCTTAGGCGAGCCAGCAGGAGGATCGACAAAGTGAACGTAGGCGAGATTTTTGTACGTACAAACGATGTGCTCGACCCATGGTTTGAACTGAGCGAAGGGCTCGTACTCACCGCGCATACCTTGCCAGGCTGAGAAGGGGGACATTCTTACACTTGTCTTGTGTGCTCCGATGGCTTGTACGACTGCTTCAAGTATCTCCTTTGGTAATTTTAGTGATTCTGCATTGTATTCATCGGATCTTCGATTGGTCTGCTTTTGGATGAATTGGTCGATCAAGTAGCCTGAGATAGGGTCAGTCGGAAAATAATCAAATATGTAATTAATTGCACACCATTTGCACAGTGTATTTCAACACCGTCAAAGTTGGCACCCTGCATCGCGTTGATCGCTGCCTGTTTGAAATGACCAACAAAACGATGTATATCATCCACAGACAATTCCTTTACTTGTCTATCTTTATAGATATCTTCAGAAGGTCCTTTAAGCTCACTATCCAGGAAAGCTGGATCGGCGACTCTTCCTAAAGCGATGATTTGGTTGTAGAAATAGCCGCCGCGCTGATGTACGGCATCAACAATAGATCTCCACTTGTCAACTTGCTGTTGAGTGTAAATTCCCGGCGCATGGTCCATTCCATGTGCTTCGTCCGCAACAATGCAGGCTTCAGAGATCAGTAGACCGTTCTTAGTAGTGCGTTGAGTGTAATAGTCTTCTACGTAATTTCTAGGCACGCCATTTTTGCCTGTTTGATTTGTAAGACGGGAGTTAGATGGGAGGATAAACTAACCGTGGGTTCGCAGTCTAGTCAATGGCGCGAGAATGACTCTGTGATCGAGGGTAAAATCACCGATGGCTAGCTTTTGAAACAGACTTGGATATTTGGACATTGATTTGATGCAAGGAACTAATATAAGATTGCTTCCATGGTGAGCTAATTTCCAAGATTACTAAGTCGGGTAAACTCGGAACTAAGATCTAGTCAATATTTTTTCATTTTTTGTAGGAGTACCTTAAAAAATAGCGTACCTTACCCAAATGCCGAAGCCATTGTACCCGTCAAGTGAAATGTGGAATTATTTCAGTAATTTCTTTATATTACAAGGCCATCAATTATAAGTATTTTGCCTTCACTGCTTGTGCCTGCTGCGGTCTCATAAAAAATATAATAATTTAGAACGTAACTTTTAAAGGTATTTAGGGTGCGCTGTGTGCTCTATTTACGCCGTTTGCGCCGTTAACTTATTGTACCCTGGAAATCTTTAGATCGATGCGAGGGGTATTTAGTGGTTTCAGTGACTTGCGTAAAATAATATTCAACGCATCTATTTCTACTACTACTCAGAAACCACGCGCACATCGCGTACAACTCTTTCAACTTCACCTCCATCATCCATCATCACAAAGTCGAGATGGATCCAATTGGGCCTCAGCTGAGGAAGCATCCATCTAGCGACAATCTCCTGCGTGATTTTAAGCACGAACTCGATGAATTTGACGGTTTAGACTCGAAGCAACGGCCACCCAGCTATCACTACCCATACGCCTATCCACCTACGACTACCAAGCAGAAGAAGGCGCTGGACGATCCAATTTGTAGTGGCTGGGATAAGCTGGCGCATGAGTTGGCCGGTGATCCACGCTCAGCCCAATCAGCGCGATCATCACAATCAGCACAGCACCAACAGCCACCTCCTCTCACCAGACCCAGATCTCACACCCAACCAACTTCCCTTAATCCCTCCGCTGCTTCTGGCTTCTCTATAATCGTCTTAGGCGCCCAAGGCGTTGGAAAGACTACGGTGATACGCAAGGTGATTTGATAAACACACACACACCCTAATAACTCACCCAATTACAGGGTTTCAGAAAGTATGGACTCTCTTCAGCCACCCTCCTATCACCTCCAAACAAAGGTACTTTCATTTTCTCTATTCCACTTTTTGTCTCACCTTCAACCAGGCAAATGTCAGTCTAGGCAAAGCGTCGTTGAAATACACGGCCAGTCTAAGAATGCTACCATTTACGAGATTGGTTTTGCTGGCCTCAACCTCCACTCAGACAACTTGTTCCCCGATTTCGTACACTCCATCGACGCTGCAATAATTTGCTACGACTCCACAAATCAATCTTCCTTTGTCGGCGTCATTGATGTTCTCCACAAAGTCATCCAACTTGGTCTCCCCAGAGTCCTCCTTGCCACAAAATCTGGCGAAATGATTCCTGCAAAGCCCACAATCAACCCCAATACGGTCGTTAGCATCATGAAACAATTTGACACCGGTCTCATCGAAACAAATGCTCTGTCAACTGATGGCAGGAGACGTATGCGCGGTGCTTTTGACTGGATCTTCAGGAATATTCGTAAGCAGCGCAAGGAGACAAGAGACAGGGGTCTTTCAAACTCATCAGCATACTCTGCCTTACCGCATCAATTCACTCATACTCATACTGAAGGTGCTGTGTCACCAGAGGAGCAATCTCCAGAGCAGCTCCAGAGTGCTCGCATTGTCCCAATGGACATACGCAATGGTGTTTGTACAATGAGTATGAGTAGTACAGAGGGCGATGTAATTATGACTGAGGCTACTCGTGAGGCTAAGCGTGGTCTAGAGGAGGCGAAAAACGATACCGCACAGGGGCACATTAACGCGAATCCCCCTATGTACTCCTTCAACGACAGCTCTAGCCCTGCCTACCACGATTCTGTAAGTGAGGGTGATCTGGTCGGAGATGCCAAGTTAGAGGCACCCAGCAAAGCACGCGAGCGCACCATCTCCGGCCCTGTCTTACATAGCACCCCTATCCCTCCAAGCAACAAAGAGTCTTTCCGTTTTGTGACGCTGGAGGAACTTCTCAACAAGCTCATCTTTGCAGCCGTTTCAGGTAATGATCAGGAGTTTGTCAAAAGTTTCTTTAGCACCTATAGAAAATTCACAAGGGCTTATATAATTTTAAAGGCCATTCTTAAGCGCTTCGATGAGGTTTCCAATGATTGTGATAGTGTGTTAGTAACATTCACGCAATCAAGACTTCTCACACTCCTCGACCGCTGGATACGTCACTATCCTGGTGATCTGCTCTCGCCACTTCATCGACATCTCATCCAGGAGTTTTTCCAGCGCGCTACTTCTAACATCAGCGTCATACACTTTGCGCCAATCTTGAAGGCCCATCTTGACCGTCCGCGAGAGACTTACGACCGCGAGCACAAGTGGTCAGTGGGTGAAGATACCTATGAGAAGGAGTTCCAAACGCTCGTCAATCAATCAGAGATACATTTCCAAGACTCACAACTCCCGCTCGGATTGTCGTTCAAGCGCAAGTCGAATAACGCAGCCGTGGTGGTGCCAGATGGAGGAACTGTCAGTCCATTTACAGAAGACAAGTCTTCACATAAAATTTTGTCCACAGTCAAGCAGGTTACCACTCGTCAACGCTCCGTTAGTGATGTGGGCAAGATTACTGAATCAAGCAATAACCCATCCACTTTGCATTCGACTCATGCAGACCCGTCTGTAGCTGTGCAATCAAAGTATAAGACGGTTGAAAAAGTGGCACTGAGTATACTCGACGCAGTGCTCCCAGTTACACCAATAGAGATGGCACACGAATTGACGCGGATGGAGTGGAAACTGTTTGCAAAAATTAGTGACAGAGATCTCCTTAGACATGCCCTCCTCACAAGCAAAGATAGAGAAGAAGATTCAATAGATGCTCAGATCCGTCACTTTAACTACCTCACTCAATGGGTTGTCAATATCGTCCTTTCACAAAACAAACCCAAAAGTCGTTTACGTGTGGTGGAATTTATGATTAATGTTGCGGAAGAGCTGCGCAATATTAACAACTACCACACTATGCATGCTGTATTGTCGGCGTTCGATGTACACGCGCTATACAGATTGATGAGCAGCAGAGTGATTGACATTGAGAGCAACGAAGAGCTTTTTATCAAATTCAAGAAGTTAAAGGTGAGTGAGAGTATGATTGATGGCTACTTTTACTAAAAACACTATAAACACCAGCTTATATTCACTTCCGATCGCAGCTCAGCTACATATCGAGAAGTACTTCGCAACACCCCTCTCCCATCTATACCATACCTGGGTGTGCATATGCAGGACATACTCGCATCCGACGCCGCAAATGCGTCAAAGAAGAAGGGTACACATGGTGAAGAGCTCATCCACTGGTCCAAATTTGCACTCATGGGGGAGGCATGTAAGCAAATTATGAAAAGGCAAAAATACCATCATGAATTTGCGTATAATCCAAGAGCGCATGATTTAGTTGTGGATGTTCCACTGTTAGATGAAGATGACCTGTTTAAGCGCTCAAAACATGTCGAACAAATACACAAATCTAGTTACGGTGGTGCCGGACAGGCTATTATGAGCGCTTCGGCTTCCACCTTTAAGGAAAGTATCAAGAGCGCGTCGAGCTGGAGTAACAACGATGGTCACAATGATAAGAAGTTTTTCAAGTTGGTGAGAACGGCTATGAATGGCGTTCATTGAATGGCGTTCATTGAAAGATGGATTTCCTCCAACGATCGTAGACTTGCAGAGCAGCAGAATAGCATCAAAATTGTTTTAATTGCCAGGTTTCATAGGGTCTCTTTCTCTCTCTCTCTCTCTTTTTTTTTTTTTTTTTTTCCTACTTTTCAATGACAGATAAGACAAGCAATCGAAACACAAGACTATCAACATATAGCACAAGAAATACACATGACAATAGAAAGCTCACAGAACAAACAAGCAAACAAATACAAATAAACAAACGCCGGAACGAACAATATATATTTCACTCGATAATCTTACGAAATGACGACACATGTACAACTGTATACCATCAAATACATACCCATTATTAGATAAAAGATTATTAAATAAATCGTGACAAGGTACTTAAAATAAATCGTTACAAGAAATCATTAGGTTGGGTATTCATTCGTATTCGTTATTTGCATTTCCAGACACAATAGTAGAGAAAACTTTGGATTTAGATTATCCCACACACTCCGTCTTCATACTACAGAGAAAGCTTTGGAGTGCCAAGTATCACCCTCGCCAACTTTGTTTTCATACTTGGCCTGGAGATTAATCCATCCTTGCGAATGACCAGCATCAATAAGTTGCGAGTTACGGTTGGCGACTACTCTAAAGTGCGATTGAGTGGGTGGGTTTTGAGTAGCACCAATAGGGCCATCCGCAGCACTCTCAGATGATTCCTTCTTGCCTCTAAACTTGTCACTGATTATGCTGGTTCTGCTAGTTTCACCCTTCTTCCCGCCCTTCACCTCACTCGTCGCCTCCTCCTTCCTTGCCTCCTTAGTCGCCTCCATCTCGCGACGAATCTCAACCAATTTGTTGTTAAGCGTAGTGAGGCCACTACGCGTACCATCTTCAATCGCTTTAGTAATCTGCTTCCTGATGAGCGACATAAGCAGAGGTTTGACAGTCTTGTACAGCAGGTCATGCTTGGAATCGCGTATCTTAAATTTCAGTTTACCGACACTGGCCTTGACAGATTTTACAGTGAATATGTTCTCGTTGTCACTGTCAACACGCAGCATAACAGTCACCGAAACACCCTTCCCGCCCAAAAACACATCTGCCAAGCCTGCATCGTTCAACTTAGGGAAACCCTTATGTCTGTTGATGTAGAAGGCTATATCACGCAAATCGCACTGAATCTGTCCTAACTCAATCTCGATGTCGTGATGATGTTCATTGGACGTAGTATCGTATGGTGAAAATTTGAGCTGGTTATACGCTTCGAATGTTATATAGTTTGGCAAAAGATTCTTACCCTGAAGCACTAAATTCTCAATGACAACATCTATTGCTGGATCACTGTATTCTATTCGCGGGATGGGTACCGCGCCGATCTGCTCAACAACAGGTGGAACAATCTTGTCACGCACGTCTGCCCACAATTCACTCTTGAAGGTCCATTTGCCGCTTTCATTGAAAAAGAGATCACGGAAGAGCTTGTTTATGTCACTGCCCAACTTCTTGTTAAGAGGATCTTTGCCCATCGCGATGAAAAAGTCAGCAATAGTGGCGAATAGCTCATTCTTAATTTGAGCTTTGTATTTGCTGGTGAAGATAGTTCTTGCAGTTTCACCGATTCTTTCTCCATCCCTGATCACTTCCTCGCTCAGGACATAACCAGGTTCAAGGAAGATACGTCGGACATACGCAACAAAATGGTCGAGCCACTCCGATTTCTGCTTATCATTTACTGCCATTTTGATGAATCTGTCAAATGACTCGAAAATTGGTGAGGCGGAGTTGTTATTAGCGAAGCGCTCCAATACCACTCTCAAATCCTCAGCAGCAGATCTAAATTCAGGATCAGATAAGATAGAGCTCGCTGCTTGCTGTTCTCCGCCACCTGCTTTCATAAGACCGCCTTTGTAGATTTCGAACTCTGCAAAGAAAAACTCAAACGCCTCTTTCCAGTCTTTGTGCTTCTGGTTCTCGTATACCACTTTCTTGAGCCTGTTGATATAGCTTGCGCGGCGCTCCTCTGGAAATATTTCTTCGAGATGCTTCTTAGTCCTATTGAAACTGTCTTGAGCTTTATCGCGATGTTGAGGAGGGATGTTCTTCTCGTTACCCTCAATGGTGCTCCTATTTTGTGATTGTGTCATACCTTCTGGATTCTGTTCTTCCAATGCGTTCTGCACCCCTTGTTGCAGATCGCCATCGCTCTGGTCGACCTTGACGGATGAGTTCTGAGCTCGTGTTATTGAATCTTTCTCACGTTCAAGTGCAGCTTTTTTCACATTCTCTGCATTGTCGTGACCTTCTTCGGCTGCCTTCTTTCCTTTCTTCAGCTTGGGTAGATTATATTGTGGAGTTTGGTCAGCGCCAACGATAGAGCCATCGTTGTTTTTCCACCCTTCAGGAGCAGTCTCGTCGAGTTTGTTTATCTGTTCAGCGGGTGGACGTGCCATATTTGCTGCATTAGCTGCAGCGTCTGCGAAGAGATCAAAACCAAGTATTTTACTGTCAGTTAACAATTTTCTGATCTCAGAGTTGGTGGCAATGAGTGTAAAGATGGTACGTAGATGGTGCAGTGCTTTGCATAGTTAGATGTTTGTCTTTATATTCCACTGACTCACCCTTATCGTTTCCTTCCTTGCTGCCTTTGGGAAATGTTGATTTATCGAGGTTGGCTTTTTCTGAAACATGTTTTTTGTCGCGTGTCTTGTAAAGGAATTGCTGGAGACGCTCATCTTTATTCTTCTGCTGAACAATATCGTTTGCCTTTTTTGTGTGAGTGTGATTCACCGCTTTAATCGCAACCCACCGTATTAAATACAGCTCGCGTGTCATTGACTAGAATTTTCCCATCGTCACTCAAGACATTTATATCAAATGGAGCGTGTGAAGAAGCGTATTTGAGTGTTTGTTGGATTTGATCATTTGAAGGCAGTAGACCACTCTTCAGCGCTGTAATTACTGAATACAATCTCATCTTCCTATCAACATCTGCGAGCTTTTAGTTGTGTGTACAACGAAACATATACCTCGATTTACCTTGATATACACGCTGACTGTCATAAACCTCTGCTACTGCATCGCTGTCTGGATTCTCGTTGATTTCGTTGTGTGGCATGATTCTTAGTGATCGTTCTTGATCAACAGTGGGAACCTTCCTTTCACATACATTCCTGAAACTCCACAAAAGTCAGAAAATTATCACATTTAATTTCAATTATAATCATATATCTTCTTTACAATGGCCTTCGAGCTAGTTATCATATTACACCCCTTGTCTTAATCTTCATGACGTCATCAACGATGCGCACTACTGTACTTTCACCCAAATTATATCTGCTGAGGTGGTTGCGATAAGGTTCTTGAATTTCCTCCAGAAATTTTTCAACCGAGCTTTCTAAAGACGTACATAAATAACTCCAATTCGGAAACCATAAATGCACACTCTTCAAGATGTGGTAGTGTTTCGGGGTTAGGTTAGGTTAGCGTCATTATTTTATACTTCAGTGACATTAGTGAGTAAACTTTGCTGCCGCTCAACATAACTCCTTTGCCTGCAGAAATTAAATGATTCAAATTTTCCTGAAGATTCATTCAGTTTATCTTTACATCCATTGTGTCTTCATCAAGCCCATTGTCTCGCAAATCAATCTTATTGGAATAGTGCAAGGATTTAATTTGTGGACAGCATTTCAACATCGTTTCCACTGTCGAAGTACTATCACAAAAAGGATAAGTTGTAAAGCCATGTGAGGCTTTTTAATGGGTTGCAGTTATATTAAAAGGGCCAACGTAAAACATTTCGATACCTTCCAGCTTATATTGCAAGTACGGATTGAATCTATCAAAGTCCAGCGTTATGTTACCTATAACCAAATTACGAGCTCTCAGTGTTTCTGGTATCTTTTTCATGTAATCTGAATTTTCGCACTCTTGAAAATTAAAAAAAGGGTATCACAAGATGAGAATTTTGAGGTCTCTCTCCAGCAATGTTCATGATCCTTTAAATTGGTCAAGTAAATTGAAGGCTACGTTTACTTTATTTCAATATTCTACCTTTGCGCGCTGGATGTCATAGCCACTCGCGCAGATTGTCCATCATTGAAAACTCGTCAAAATTTAAATCGAAAACGCCAATCATAAAACACTGTTAGTGGGTTAGAGTAGTGTCGTGAATAAATCTGACTCACGAGGATAATCATAAGTCCATATCGCCACTTTTCGTTAATTAGAAGCAACTTAAGGACTTGTTCTTTATAATTAGTACAGGAGCAGCTGGGATCCAATTTTGCTCTCATCACAAAAAACGATGATCTCTTTTTTAACAATAATCATATCGAGCGGTATGTTTGCAAAGTTTATTTTGCCGATCTAGCTTGCTAAGTGTTTGTCGTTGTGATAGAGGTATTCCCAACTGCACGAGAATGATAGGGGTCAAGGTATGTAACGTTTCCATCTTCAAATATCTCTTACATTCCGAAAATTTTTCTCGTTAGATTGGAATCTTTCTCGTAGGGCCTGCCCTCCGTCCAAATGCATCGGCAGCCATGTCGCAGTGTCAACACGATAATCTAATCAATCTCGGCAATAAAATCTTGCTGTTTACCGAAGGTACCAGTGAAATATTGCCTCCGTTTTTATCTCCCCTAACATAGCGAGCTTTCAATATTTATGTCGATTGTCGTACAGCCTTTATACCCAAGAATGCTAAGTTATTGATGCTTTGATCTAATGGTCAAACTTCCGTTCTCCTTAACTTCCAATTATATCCACTGCGTCATTTCCCTCATTATTATTATCGCCGGATCCACAAATAATCACCAGAAAATAAAAGCAGGAAGAGAGATGCGGGAAAAGTGACTGTGCAATGTCTAGATTCCTGTAAACAACCTAATCGTAATAAGCCGATTTTGATTTTTTCAACCGATTTTCCATTTATGTTTCGATGAAATTGACTAAAAAAATTGAATCTCAAATGACATACTTGACGCGTTTGCATATCCTACCACGAACGTTTAACGCAAGACTACAACATACTGAATTGCAACTATGCCGAAAGCCATCACTTCCTCTGCATTGACGAAATATGGCAAAAGGGACCAGCCCTATGATGATGAAGATGAGAAACGCCCAGGTGTAAGCATCTCCTTGCAGCTTTTTCAAATACCGGCCAACTAATCACGTAATGTTTGCAGGCCCCGAGGACACACCTACGGCAATCTTTGGAGTATGTTTCTGTTGTCCCACTTCTGACACTCTAATGATCCACACAGGCTTGCAAAAAGACCAAACAGCGGTCTCGAATTTTGCTGTGACAATTATTGTGGCTTTTACGTGGACAAAGAAAAGGTCTGCTGAGTATTCATTCAACAACATTCGCTCATTTACCACTTCAGCTGACAGCAACGCTAGTATCGGAGAAGTCTTTTAAGGCTTTCCAACGTAACTTGCAATATTACCATAGCGTAAGCTTTTATCCAAATTAATCACCCAATTTAACACTGCAACAGGCTGGAAATGATTGTTGCTTCAATAAGGAGACCGCCGAAAGTTGCTATAAATTTATCAGACCATACGATCCGTCCAACGTGCGTACTTGACATTATCCCAATTTCTGTTAACGCGGTTGCAGGAAAAAATCTTCTTGAATATGTCAAAAAAGGATCAAGGAAGCAAATCAGTCAGCAAGGCTCCACGGAGCTCGGACAATTCCGAAACATTTGTGCCTGCTTCATCTATTAAAAGGTTTTCCGCGGGCTGTACTTTGAGAACGAGAAGCGCCAGCAAGAAGGACCGTCAATATCAACATAAAAACTTAGTGAAACAGCTACTGAGGAAACCGTCCTTAGAAGTGCCAGACTCGGACAGCCAGATGCACTCTACATCCAACAGCCCAACAGACAGACCTGAACATGGTAACATAGGTCCGGATGGTTTGCGTAGACCTAACGTAATGGAAATTCCTTACTTGATTGGACAAACCGAACTTCCACCTGTCTCCTTCGCTAATGTTCAGAGACCTGTTGAACGTAGTCTTGTTGGCCCAGTCCCTGCTAAGATCGCACCTAGCAGACTCTCCATCCCCATCAGGAAGCAAGACAAGGATAATCCATCTAGGCCAAGGCTTCTACAAGAGACACTCCCGCCGTTCGACTTAGGTATCAATGGATACGGATATTTTCCCTGTCTAATCGATCCATCAATCACAGTCGCAAAGGGAACGAAAACCACCGATGTCTTTGCAGATGTAAGTCGTCTCTCGACTTCAAGAAACACTTTCGTTCAATCAAAAACTAATTGGCCTTTTTGAAGAAGGCAATTAAAGATATTTAAATGAGATGTAAAATATATTGAACGTCTTTTCATAGCCCGGATCTGAAAGGCATAATTCAACGAATCTAAAACGGATCAACAAAATGAAGCGAGTGATAAAGCGAAACAAAATTTCATATATAATTTTGACAACTTTAAGGAGGCTATCCCCGTTCGTGGCAGTGATGGTGACGAATAGAGGAACGAAGAAGGCAAATTGTCCAAGAAGGCAAGTCGATTAGTCCACTAGTAACCTCAGCAGCTTTATCAAAATCATATATCCTGTCCCACTCAGACTCGTCACCGCTAACTGCTGATCGCTGATCGCCGTATCATTGATGACGAAAGCGCTTCGTGAGTCGATATGAGAGACGAGCATCACTAGCGCGCTCAAAGGACGATAGGAAATGTAGAGCACTCATATCTGAGTTCAGAGCCGCAGCATAAGCAACGAGAAGTGAGGATGTAGAGCTGCTACGGTGAGTGATATCATCGTGTCAGATATGTAAATGGGTGTTGTATAACTCAAAACATCAAGCCATACAAGCGAAATTCATTTTTGATTATCGACACTCGCATCGTGGCAAATTTACAGACAAATATACCGACATATTTTCTCGATTTCCCTCAGCAATGCTTGATTTTTAGCTGCAAATTGACCTGCGAATCAAGCAATAGCCAATGTCTTGTAGCTCAATTAGTATTGCCCACTACCATTCTTAATTAACCTTGTTTTAGATTAGCTTGCATAACGACACACAAAACTTGAATCTGTACATAAGTGATAACATCATGTTCAATCATTATATAACAATGAAGCTTGTTTGCAAATTAAAGGGGCTTTATCTCTGACGGAGATATCAACTATCGAGTCGTTCTCGTGGCAGCATCCAGGCTATTGTATCATCATGGATAAGCTACTCTGACTCCTTATGATGACCTCTGTCATTCTGTAGAATTAGAGCTTTTAACTTTCTTTATCAACATTGTCAACACACGACTAAGCAGTAACTACTAAGTCGCATCCGAGTATTGGCCTTTGTGAAACGAGTTAAGCTAAGTGATAAATGTCACTCTTTCGCGAACAGAAACGCCGCTGCTCCATAATTACTTACTAATTACCAATTTTCACGTTTGAAACAAGTTACGACGAGGCGATTGACGTTGGATGTTATCATAATAGTGAAATTTTTCTGAACGCTTTTGTCGGTTTAGATTTTCTGTAAATTGGAAGGTGAGATTAACGGGAAGAGGTGATATGCGGTTGAAAGTCTCTAAAGAAGATTTTCTTCTTTCAGAAATGCGGTAAGCTCATCATTGCCGATAGGCCTGCTTCCCGTAATCGAGCTCGTCCAAGCTCACCGACGCTGGGCTTAAGAGATGATGATTAAAAGGTCAAGTTGGGCATTTCTTTAGGATGTTGGAAGTGGGCGCATAACTGTTCTTGTTGATGCTTGTCCGGGATGGAACCATTAAACCCAATGATCAAGATCAAAACTCGTTTGACGTTATCCGGGATCTTCAACGCAAATTTTGAGCTGTTGAGCTAACGGCTAGTGATTTAAATCCATCCCTTATACAACGCAGTCAACTATGCAGCTGGTCGTATTATTACACAAAAATAATGATTATATACGGTAGCATTTACTTCTCTACTAAGAATCTACCCAATAAAATATCTCTTCAGCTTTAACAGTCTAGCTATACCCTATTGTGTCTCCATCGCCAAATTTTGTAAACATGCGCAACGTTACCAGCTCCCGAGACCAAACTTTTGGTGAAAATGACTCATATGAAAATCTTTCAACCATCGAAATAACACTCGCATCCGAGTAACACTCATGCGAAGACACCCTCATCTCGCGTCAAATTAGCTAAAACAAACCTCCACGAGAAACCGGAGCACCAGGAAATGATGCAACGCCTTCAAACATGCCAACAGCTTGAGAAGCTTCGACATCTTTGAAACTATTATTCGGATTCATGACAAAGATGAAGAATGAGATAGTACAGCCACGCTGGTTTGATAACATAGTCGGTGCTTTAGACTGGCTCAGACAATTTTCAAATGGGGCCACGTCCACTAATCAGCTAAACTCCCAAGTGCGAGTGTAATTGCTGCAAGTTAATTCTCATTGTTTTTATAAATAATCCAAACAACATGGTTTTGTTTGGTTAGGCTAGGTTATGTTTCAACTTTCACATGTGGTTAGGATTGACGCGTGCTTTAGAGTTCGTTGGTTCTCTTTTCTAATTTGTTCTTGACTCTTTTCTGTGGCTCAATGGAAGACCGTACTTAGCTGCACACACTACTCACGCCGAAGTGCCTTGAGGGAAGATTTTACTTTATTGCCTTGTAATATTCCGAAATCTTTACGCGCTTTTCTGAATTATTGTTAAATTCATCTCACTCCCCCTTTCGCTTCTAACCATAGCTACCGCAGCAATACAAATTCCTGAAACCATATTAGTGAAAGAGAGAACGTCAGCACAAGCGCATATAGAAAAAGACAATAACACGCAAAAAATTTGAGCAAGGTATTCAGTGCGATTACTCTCTATTCGCACACAAAAACAGCGTTTTTCTATTACAGATTCAACCGTAATTTGACAAATACTAAACACACATGAAGTGAAATGTTTTGCCGGATTTGTCGCTTAGGCTTGTGTTCAGAGTGCCTTCGCGATTGTTAGTGTTTTTAAAACTCCCATTTAATTAACTAGAAGCTGATTTGATCTTTTAGGGCCTCTGTCTACTTTGTTTTCTCAAGCCTGCATTTTGTATGCGAGAGATAGAGTGTCCAGCTTTGAAGAACTTCTGATATACTGCTCAATATCCTGTCGTTGAATTTGTTAATACTGATACAGAAGTGGTCGACGGGCTTTTATGTATCTGCTGAACGCCTGACAATAATGTCGATGGTAATGTTTGTTAGATGTGAAAAAGAGATTGCGAATACCTATAAATTTTAAATTCATTGATTTTTGGCAGTTTCGTTTGAAATATTCACAAACTTCTGCTATTCGCTCTCATAAGCTGGTAAAAATGCCTTGGTTTGTTAAACAAGCTCGGTCATGTACACATATTGAGCAGATATGTATAAAAGTATGCGCATAAGTGATAAAAACTCCAGTCTTGGGGTGGTATACTCAATTTGCCAAACAGTCCAATGTGAAACTCTGATTATTCGCCGTCGGAAGTATACAGAGAGAAGTTTGACAATAACATTTACAGATGAAAGACTCTCGATCATCAGAGCCTATAGCATGGCTTCGGAGACGTGTAAGATGATCCAACGGCACGAAGGCTCGTCCTGATACGATGTTACAGCGTCTTCGAAGTGTGAGGGGCATTTTGGGCTGCTAGCTGTATTCACTCACTGGATTTCTCCAGCCTTTCGTAGATATTTGGGAACTGCTGCGTGGTAGCGCCGGGTCTGAAGAAGATTCTAAAGTCCGAGGGATATCGTTTGTATGTCATTGGGATTTTCAGAAGATTGTGAGGGTGTGAGAGCGATTTAATGGAGGTGATCTTATAAACATAACGAGAAAATCATTGAATTTGATTTGTCTCAGATGTGATGTGCGTATATTTAGGACTTGAGTTTCATTAACGCACTGCGTACCGCGCACCACGCACTAAACTAATAGGCCAACGGTATGACGCACATTCACACTGTCCGCTTATACGGGAATAAAGTGCGAAAGTGTATTTTAGTAGAAATGTGACAATTACAATACAATGATCCATTTTCTATAATCTATAGTTTTTATTTTACAACATTCATTAGATAATCTATGAGATCGCTCATACTCCTAATCGTAAAGATACTTTGGCGGATCATTGCGCTTGCTTAATTCGAAATCATTCGGAGACACATAGAAACCCTCTTTTTCTACTCTTCCACTCCTACTCTTCCCAATCGGCGACACTATATCGTGAATTGACATCGCAACGGCCTTTGCCTCCTCGTAGCTCTTGGTGCAATTGCAGCTCTCCTGTCTCTCCTTGCCTATACCAGCATACTTTCTCTCATCATTCTCGCAGAGGCGCTCCATTTTGACATGATCTTCATAACGTGGTAACAGAACTGAGTCAAACGATAGCAAACAGTGCGGTATTCTGACCGGGAGTGCTATCCTTGCCCTGTATACTAACGGATTGGAATGAGTGCTGTGCCAAATTTCAAGAACGAGCTTATGCGTCGATCTGATTGCGCAGTCTGTATAATCGCAATGACTGCCTCTTATTACTGTGTCGTCTGGCAACCTAGCCAGGTATCTCGCCTTAATTGGATAAGTTTGGCTCAGACGGTCTGGCAAGATGTTCGAATTGAGTGTGTTAGTGCCTTGATTGAGTATAGCGACTGTTTTTGGAGGCAGCGTCTCCTTGTAATGCTGATCATTGCGAGAAAAGAGCATCGTAGCCTGCTCTACGCTTAGCCGTATACCATGCACCCTCAAATCGGCTACAGCTTGTGGGAGGTGCATCTCCATTTCGATGACGCAACTCACAGTAAGATGCCTTGTATTGAAAGCCACCTCCACAGGCCCCAGGCCTTCTATCGATGACTGCACGCTTTCACCGAAGGGAATATATCCCCAGCCGATCGGATGAGCAGCGAAAAGGAGGTCGAGTTTGCGAGAGAGCGGGAGCGCTATCCATTCATTGAATATCACCGTCGCTTTAAGATATTGGAAGCAAGTGCCGTGCGAGTGCCTCTCATAGACGAATGTATTTGGAATGTAGAAGAAGAAGTCGAGCTCGTGCACGCCGGCGTCGAGCGTCTCTTCTCCGCAGATATTGAACCTCTCCGATAGCAACTCGTGCTTCTCCTTGCCTCTGCTCAGGTGCACTTCCTCGACGCACTTGAGATCGACGTCTATCGACTTGATGAATCTCTTGGTCGGGAGGTTGAGCGTCGCTATCCCAGCCAGCTCCTTCTCTGGCTCGTCTGGGCTGTGCGTAATGACATTGTGGGATCTCGGTAAATCTATGTGCAGTGTTGCTGGCATCTCACTACATGGCGGTGTGGGAAAAGACGGTGACCGCAGGAGACAGATGAATGAATTCTGATGTGAAAATCGCTGGTTGTGCTCTATTTGGATTTTGACTTACGAGCTGCTGCTCGGCAGGCACGCGATCACAATATCACACCCTAACAGCAAGGTATTTGCACAAACACACAGTGGGCTAGCTATACACAACGAAAGGAAGCAGCTCAACACACAGTATTAAAATATTACAGCAAGTTTTAATAAGCTCCAAGTATTACGAGATCAACGATTGGTTAGCTTAGCGAGCTAGCACTTAGTACTTGTTGTCGTCGTCGTAATTGTCTTGTTTCATGCTATCGTGCTTCTTGTCATTGTTACTGTGCTTCTTCTCATCGTGCTTAGCGTCGTGATTTTTGTCGTCATGTTTGATATCGCCATACATCTTGTCGTCGTGCTTGAAATGGTGTTTATCATCGTAATTCTTGTCATCTTGCATGATAACGTGCTTCATGTTCTCGTTCTTGTCATCCGTCTTGTCCGACTTCCAGTTGAACATCCAATTCCAGAAACCCTTCCTATCGTCATCCTTCTTATCGTTCTGAACAATGTATAAGCTGGTGTCACTGAGAGCATCACACTACCCACTTTTTCATCCCACTTCTTGTCAGCATCCTTGTCATTATTCTTCTCATCTACCTTGTGATAGTCGTAATCGACGCCCTTCTTGTGATCGCCCTTGTATTCCTTGTAGTCAACGTCTTTCTCATCTCCGCGACGGGCGATGTTGTCTGGTTGTGCGGCTGCTGCTGATGCGATGGTGCCAGTGAATGCAAGAACGGCGAGAGCTTTGGCGGTGTTGAAGTACATTTTTGTCTTTTGGGATGTAGAAAAGCAAGAGGGATATAGCGCTTCTTATAAAGCCAGCTGGGCTGATGATTCTTGGTGCTACAGTCACATCTCGTCATTCTGCCAAGTTAATGAGGCTGAATCTGCACGTGCTAGGGTAGAAATGTGTAGAATTCTATGCTAGTCTACTGCATTTTCCAGCTGCTCTCTTCTGCTGCCGCTATCCTGAGGGCAAAGATCCACATCGACTGGCTGAACGCAAATATCAATTGTGGTTGCGAAAAATGTTTTATTACGCTGGGTGATATGATTAAATGTATTAGTTACGCTATCATGATTGTTAAAGATGTTGGGTAGACTGAAAAAAGCATCGAGTAGCTTCTTTGAAATATTGACAAACATTGCCAGCCAGTTTATCCGTGGTATAATTTATTAAAGAGGCATTCATCGATAGTACAGTTAACACGAATATTTGGTATGAGGCGGTGAATCCACGCTCAGCACCAAACATGAGCAAAATTGGAACCAGGAGGGAAGATCTAAAACAAAAACAGCCGTCTTTAGTTTATTTGGCTACTCATTGATAATTGGGTTGCGTTCTTCGCTCCACCAGTCAGACACTATGTCTTACTTTTGATACCGCTCTTTAGGTGGGTGGGCATACCTATCATTATTAATACTTTGACTGGCATGAATTACATGCATTTATAATATGAAGGCCAAATTAAAACGTATAATATTCTTTAATTGACATCTGCTTCCTGTCGTGTTTCATGTCTTTGTAGTGCCTTTTGTCATCGTAATTCATCTCACCGAATTTCTTATTGTCAGACTTCAGGAGATAGACCTATATCAGGTATTTAGGCCATAATGCGAGCAACTAGTTCACGATAGGCGTAGATGTCCTAAATTCATCATCATTCTTCGTTTACGTCGTATAGTAAACTTTTTTATCTTAAATCTTCAGTATGAGACAAATCATGCGCAGTACGGAAACCAAATTAGATTTTCTGTGAGAATTGCGATAATACTTACGACAAAATAATTTAACGTTCGCCGTCTGAATAGTCTTTCATTGAAAAAGTTTCGCAACCCGAATCTGTAACCCTAAACTCTGAATCATCTGAATACTCATACTCCGAAGAAGTGTCAAAAACCCAAAATATGAAACAGAAAATTCCGAAAAACTTAATATGTGATGCTTTGAGCCAAACCTATCGAATGCTTCTTCAGATATACCCTCCACAATAATTGTCGCCTCTTCTGCCTTTGGCATTGAGTCGTCATTAATACCGCGATTGAATTCGTCGCTGGATCTAGCTGAGCTAGTGTACTCGACAAATAAATTCCTCAAATTGCTCAATTTGCAGATATTCTCAGGATTGATGAAATCATGATGTTTGCCGAGCAAGTCCTTAGTCATCAGCTGATTATTATCAATACATAGTTTTTCCAAACACTCAAGAGAAACACCATTTCAGTTGCTCAGCTCCTTATAATAAACCCGAAGGTGGGTCAGTAAGAGAATAAAGTCTATGAGAGTTCATAGCTCCAAAGATATACCACATAATGTATACAATGATGGGATTGGTTTGTTTGTTGATGTTTGCTGCATATTCAGATATACTACCAGAAATCTCGGGTATCACCATGTGCCTACCATGTGCCTGCCTCTGTGATGGCCAGAAGCATGGGGTAAAAGCCAAGAAATAAAGAAAATGCATGGTATCCCTAAATAGTGAAAGATTAAAATCTAAAACCTGATTTCAACGCTTCTAGGCCAGCCAGTCCTCGATTTCCATCTCGCCAGAGCCGAGTGAAATCAGACACATACTGGCGTCTTTGATATGTATGGTGAACGTTCGAATGCTGAGGTTATCTCTATTTGGAGTATCTTCTGGGTTCTGTGGGTTGTGTCCTATGCATGCAATCTCCACCAAGTCTCTTCGCGCGAGAGAATCAGTTAGGACGGTGAAGTATTTCGAGGAGGTGACTGTGCGGTTATTCCAAAACTTATTGATATTTATGATGGCTAGATCTTCTATGCTGTGATTGAGGTAGGCGCGGACATGTGTGGACGTGTGCCCGGTATCGTCGTCGCTTTCTTGGAGGAAGAGTGCATTCTTGTGTCCCTCATTTTTAACACCGTCGTCTATGCGCATTATGAACTCGTCTAGATACCTACGCGGTGCCCTGTACATCACGTAAATTGGAAATCTGAGTGCGTAAGCGGCGAGCTATTCGTAATCACACAAAACTCACTTCTTGGCCGCCATATGAGGAAACATTCTCTACTGTCTTCTTTTTGCCTTCTCTCTTGCCTCCTTGATGATGTTTTTTGTCTCGCAGATCTATGATCGACAGTTACGATTGGAAGGTCAAAGTTTTAGAAATGAGTTAAAATTTATTCATCGAGGGTGTGAGGGTGTATTCACAAGCCTTATTTGTGTGTATTTGTGTTTGTATTAAATATGTATATAATTATCCAGTTATTGCGTTATTCGTTTGTTACGTGCCACTTCATCTATTCGATGCTTTCTGAGGGTTTCATAGGTGAGCTGTTGCCGCTATCTGCATTTGCGTTCTCGCTGCTATTCTCGCTCTCGCTTTCACGTCTCTTCGCTCTTCCAAATAACTTGCTGTTGATCCAATCACGCGTGCCAGGCTTGTGGTGCACGTGGAGGACAACCTTCTTCTTACCCGTAGCAGCCCTTTCGACATCCTCCTTCAATTTCGCTTCATACTCTGCTCGCTTGAGTGCCTCATACTCTGGCCCAACGGTACCACCGACGCGATTGTGTTTAATATGGGTACCATCACCATCACTGCCTTCTAAATCACCTACTGTATGTACCTGGACATCAATGTCATTTTCATACGAATTATTATTGAGAGGACGTTCAGTAACGACGTTATTTCCCTCGACTGTGTGTGAGGTGAGTGTGAGTGAGTTTGTATCCGCGCGTCACATTTCACCCACCCCAAGAATTCACATTGCGACCGCTCACCACCTGTGTCTCTTTGTCCAGCTCGTCGAGCGATGCGGAGGAGTTTCCGAGTGTCGTACCAACGCGTCTGCTCAGGCTGAAGAAAGGAATACTAAGGCCGTGTACGAATGTTGAGCAGATCACCAGGAAGAAGACAATCGGTTGTATTGTCACGGCGACCATCTCAGCCTGGTTCTGTGGTGCGCCCTCTGGATGAGGGAGTTGGACGGAGGCTATGGCGCCTATAAACACCGCTCCAACGCCAATAGGACCGAAGTAACCGATGAAGAGCGCTTCTCGGAACGTCTTTACATCCGGTATCCACCGATACAGTGCGAGCAAGGGCGGGATACGCTTGATGATGAATATGCACAGCGCAGCAATCACCAGTCGCCAATTGGTGATACCGCCCAGAGTACTATCGTTGAACTGATCAAACGGCATAAGCGTGCCGATGAAAATGAAACAGACGCTGTTGAATAGCAGATCAATCATCGACGAGAAATTGCTCTCTTCCGTGGCCTTATTGAAAAAGCCATCCCAGGAAAAAGCAGTGCCACAGCAGAAGGATGCTAGCAAGTCATCGGACCCTAAAATAAGCGCTATGCCAATACAGAGGAGAGTGAGCGAGACATACTGCGCGACAAACGACTGTCTGTCTATGAGATTGCGCCCTTCACACAGCTTCATTAGCTTCCGCGCACAATAACCAATCAGAGAGCCGAGGAAAATGCCCAGAGCCACCTCGTACAGCCACGTAACGAGGAACCATTCCTCAACGGCATAAGGCGTGTCCATCGGGGAAAGGAGGAGATAGATGCCGATATAGAGAAAGGGGAATGCAGCGCCGTCGTTGCACCCACTTTCGCATGCGACGACGTGCTTGATATGTGAGGGTATGTGCTCGTCGGCGAACTTGCCACCGATGACAGCAGCTGCGAGAATGGGATCGGTGGGGGTGAGAGTGGCTGCTATTGTGAGTGAGCCAATGTAGTCGAGGCCGGGAATAAGTGCGTAGATGAGCGCGGCAGAGATGACCCAACCGAATGCCATCACTGGACACAGCATAAAGAAGAGACTCTTCCAGTGACGTTTAATGTAGCGCCGCGGAAGTTCTACGCCTGTGGTTTGCGTGCGTGTTAGAAAGACATCATCCAGTGCAATGACAAGACACCTCACCTATCGCAAACACACCAAGCGCCAGTACTATACGAGTCACTTCCAATATCAACTCATTCACTTCCTCGTCGTCGGCGTTGTTGCCGTTCTCGCCGCCGAACTTGCGTGGGTCAACGCTGCGATTGGTGTTAGAGTAATTGTTGAGCGTACTCGCCACCCACAGCCCTCCAGCATAGGGACCAATGATGATCCCAAAGATGGTCGATGTGACTGCTTCTCCGATATACAGCTTCTCCTCTGAGTGGAGTGTGAGCGCGGGTGTTTTCGCAGTTGCACGCCCACGCACTGATAAACAGCGAGACCATCATAAACACCGCAATATAAGCACCAAGCAACACATACGTCAGATGCGCCGTACTGATCTCGAAAGGCTGCGTGCATAGCGTGAGCGTGGGGTGGACCTGGGTGATGTATTGTACTCACCGAGAAATGCGTCAAGCCAGCCATTTAAAGGGTGCCTTGTAATTCACCGTGCTTGGTATAGAATGAACATTATCTGCAACCAACGCATTCCAGTTGTGCCATATGCGAGGAATGAATATGAGCTTTTCAGTGAATTTGAGTTCGTGAAAGTGTTTAAGCGCAAGTGTATATAGCAATTACATGGTATATATTTGTATTCCTTATGTTCAATGTGTTCTGTATGTTCTGTATGTTCTGTGTGTTCTGTGTCTTCTGTGTTCTGTGTGCATTAAATGCTGTGTGCTGTGTGCACCCTTTACCTATCTCCTTATCTAGCCACACCCTGCCACCCTTCTAAAACACACCCTGCAACCTTCATCGCCGCCTGCATAACTATCAGTCCACTCAACCCCATTGAAACTGCGATAAATGGCACGACGGTGACTACTAGAGCCGTATTGAAAGCTCCAGTCACCAGTACCAGCAGAACACTCTTATTTGTGTTACGCTCCATTTCCAGCTTTTGTAGACGCTGTAACTTCTCGTTGTGTGTTTCCTTCGGCATTGCAGGGTGAACAGTGTTTGCTGTATGTACTGTATGTTTTATGTGTGTGGCGTATTTTGTACTGTCTTCTGATTTATACAATCTCAAATCTCTTCTCACTTCACTCTACTATTTGTGGGATATTAAACAAAATCCAATTCCATCACCCGCAGTCTTTCTCAGAATCGAAACTGAAAGTAAAAATATTCTATTACTCCACTGTATGATTGTGCTACTTTACTGAAATCACTCCCTGCAAGTCTCACATCAATTTCTCCTTTGCTGCAAAATTGTGCTAGCCCATGTTATCACATTGTGACGTAACATTGTCTTTATTGCGTTTGAAAGACTAAGAGAAACATTCAGGCAAGCTTTTCAGCCATTGCTATTTATGAACAATAATTGTTGATAAAAAGATTCATATAGATACTAATGAGCAGAGGCTTCGACACAAAAAAAATGCATTAACCCGGAATTGAACCGGGGGCCGATCGACTCGGATCAACGAGATAGTTGATTGGCAACGATCGAGGTTACCACTACCCCATTAATGCTGTTAACATTTTGATCTTTGTGAGGTCGAAGTTCACACAAAGGGCAAGGCGCTG